GCAGTCTTGTAAGTTTCGCCGAGGAATCGCGGGAGAAAGTATATGGGCAAGTTTCGATTTGGAGAGACAAAAATTTTTCACTTTTCCTGCCGTGACTTCTATAAATAACTAGGTATAAAATATAGTTAAATCGATTAGATTTCAATTAGATTCCAATTAGTTTTCGAATCAATTTTTTTAGTGGAAACAGAAACAAGGAATGGTGAAAATTGGAAAACTAATTAATCAATACATATATGAACTGATATAAAATTAAATGAACAAGAGGAAACAGAATTTTAAAGCCGGTCATTTGACCAGTTCCCGGTACGTTTAGTGTTAACAGAAGGCTGTGAATATTTGATTTCTTTTTAGGATAAGCTGAATATTTCTTAAACTTGATTTGAACTCGAAAGAAACTTAGAGAACAGATGTGAATTGCAAGAAACGAAATTGTGAAGTATACAAAATAAATGAATAATAAAGAATACAACACAAGTAACTAATAGATTACAGGAACACGTTCTAATTCCAAAACCGTAAACCCCTAATCCATTCTCACCATCCCGGAGGTCCTAACCTCACCGACGCGAGCGCCCATAAAAATCTCCTCTCCGCTAATTATCATTACCGCGGAAAGTCTCTAAAGAAGGCCTCGTACAGGCACTTGATTACAGGATTCAACTTTACAAAGTGGCGGGCTCCGGCGTGCCGCGGATTTCCATAATAAGGAAGCATAAGTCAGGCGGCAGCGGCGTTCCAGCGACGTTCCACGGAGCATAATGGCCTCGTCGAACGGGCACTTAGCTCCCCGAACTAGTTTGTTAAGATCTCGACAAGATACGAAACACGACCATAACGTTATCCCCTGATCGCGGGAAGGGAAGACATCCTCCGCAGTTCACGGCAATTCCCATCCGAGAGATTAAGAATGGGGGCCGCCCGGGCGGGGGGGTACGGCAGCGGCGAAGTTAGTGGATGCTGCGGATAGCCGTTTCCAATTAAGCTTCCGGCTGGTGTTGGTGAGACTCCCCTTGAAAAGCGTCGGCTGGTTTGTGTGCTCGATCCACATCTGCGTTCGTCGCACGTACGCTCGCTCCGTGGGCACCGGTACTACTGCCTCCTCCTCCTTCCTCCCCCCGCCCCCGCGCAGTCTTTCTAGCGACGCGCGCGCTTTAATAGCTTCCCCGGGGAATTCCCTGGAACACCGTTCGCCCGATTCCAGGTCTAAGAAGACCGATGGCTTGAAACAATGTCAAAGGGAATTAGGGGACGCGTAATGAAGTCGGCGTTTTAGCGCGGCACGCGATTTGCATTTCGCCGGGAGCTTCCATCGATCCGAGTATCAGCCGCGATCTCCTCCGGGATGGCTTTCACGGGCTACTCGGTAATCAGGTTTTAAAGGAGTTCGATTTGTTTGGTTCAATCTGAACGACTACGGTGGGATTTTTATTGTGTAGGAAAATGCGCAACGTGCGTGTTTTAACGCGTCGAATGCCATGGGTCACTGGTGACCTTCAAGAAAGTCGAATGTAGTTCACTCAATTAAACGATGATTATTTGAAAACATTTCTACATTATAAATAATACTATCTAATTCGGTGGCATTCAACCAGATGAACGTGTAATAATCATGATGCAATTCAATCAAATGATTTAATACTATATTTTTCACTTTGTGTATTTTTTTCTATGAAATCGTGCGGCATTCAACGTGTTAAGGATGTTTGTGTGTGTGTATATTCGAGGAGGGAGACTGCTCTGCGATGCTGCGTTGTTTTCGAACGAACGACGAAAAAGAATGAAAAGAAGGTGCAACGGCAGTTGATGAGCGTTCGTATCGAGACGATCTTTGTGTTCAAGACGAAATAAATTATTATTGACCAAATGAATCCTTAGAATTATTTGACTGTGAGTTGACGGATGATATTTGGTAGATGAACGAAAAGTGTCTTAGTAGAGGTTAAGTAATCTTAGATTGAACGGCTGCCCGTAAAGACAAATGTTAAGTATTACTTTTTACTCAACGAGAAATTGTTACTTTACGAATTACTGTGCCTGCGGTAGCTATCTGCAGATTTTATTCAAGGCAATGACTATATTTTCTAATTGTCTTACTACTAACCACCGTATGTTACTTGCCTGATTAGAATCAATGTTAAACTACTCGTCTGACAACCAACTGACCTACACGCGTCGCTTTGTACACTGTTCCATACTACTAGCCTCTAGAAAGCACCCTACTTCTTGCGTGTCTACATGCCGCTCTCCACTATTTATATCACCAATGACTTATACCCCTTGTTGGATTCTTGACGTCTTCGTTTCGACGAACTACGACTGTGATTGCGATTAACATGCTACTGAATAGAATTGTGGGCATTGATTTTTGGTCATTCACACGTAACCCTCTAGTAAGGCAAAAACTCATAAAGAGTTTCCACAAATTAACAGTTCTTTAATAAGGAATAATAAATTGTAACACTAAAACTTGTTAAATAAGTTACTAATTATTAACCGCTCTCTCCTGATCTCTCATTTTATCTCTCTATTGTTACACTTCATTCCCCTTATCATTGTCTCTTCATTCATCCAATCTATTATCTGTTCTAATTTTCTAACCTCTTATCATTTCTTCTTATCACACATCATTTCCTTATCCTACAGTATCATCCCCTATTCTCCTTTCCACGAGCACTACGACAAACATTCCTCTAACTCTTTCCCCAAACTTCTCGAGACAAACAGGGACGAAGAATATCCTTCGCGTGGAATTCGCAAATAATCCGGCTCGCCGTCGAAGTGATCAGGTTAAACGTCGAGAGTTCGTCTTTGTCTTTCCGGTTCCGTGTCGGATGTATCCGGCGGGACAGGGGCAAAGTTCGCGGTTAGCTTCTTGCTGATCAACGAAAACCCTCGAAGCCCCTCGATATCTCGACGCGCTCCGAGACGGTTGCTCGTCGGTCGCCGAGGCTCGCACACGTACGAACACACACGCAGACGCGAACGCTCGGTCGAAATATTGGATTCGCTGTTACACGACGACGCCGGGAGATGGGTCCTTTTCGCGTGGATTCGCGGATTATAGGAAACATCCTAGGGATTACGTTGCTGGGTGGATTCTCGAGTGTCATATCCTCGGTAACTGGTTTCCTTCAGACCCACTGCTAGATGGAATCGTAGCAATTAGAGCGCAGGGATGGCCGTTAAAACAGGTCAACTCGAGAGAGCCGCGCACCAAGAATGGATTGATTGATTGGAGTCTCGTCTAGATGTGATTGGTACGTCAATTATCTTGCCTTCGAGTGGTCGGGAAGATGTTGAAGTCAGCTAGTCGGAGAGCACGCTGCTCGCGCGAATGTTAATTTCCTTCGTTGCTCCGGGACGAGCGAGTGTTTCATTTCGTGGCTGAGGCATGCGCTAACAGTGCACCCAATGACGATCCGATCACTGAAATTGTTTTCCGCTGATATTAGTGATGATTTAAGTAGAGATAATATTGACTTGGGATAATATTTCTTACGTGTAGTTTACGAAATTTGGTATTGAAATTAGACGAGTGTATAACTAAGATAAACTGGGAAAATATAGTAAAATATGTTCATAGCTTGGCGTCTATGAGAATCTATTACAAACGCATTTCGCCTTTTGTTCTAATGTGTAAATCATGGGATAAAGATTCTAAGGAACCTCTAACCATTTTCAATAAATCTGACGTTCTCATGAATTTGTCCTCTCGCAATATTACTTGTTAAGTATGTGATACGGAGTTTCATTATTCCTTTGTGTAGAGTTTCTACGAAGTTTCTTGTTCGTTACATCGAACAATGACGGCGGTGTTTTTAAGTGTGTTGGTCAGGGAGAACAGTGAACCGACGGGTATCGGACAAATTGAGTAAAGTTTCGTGGTCACTACGGTCAGGAATGAAAATTGGCCCGAAATTAGGGTGCACTAATGGCCTTGGTAATTGATATTGGATGCAAGCGTGGCTTACTCCCCCTCTGCCATTGGCTGATATGATACACGCTGTTTCCTATACATCGTTACCGTAAATGGCCCAAATGCTTTTAACACCTGTCTCAATCGCGACTCGTTTTCGGCTATAAATAATTTCCTCTGTGTCTTATAAGGGAGATCGTTGAAATAGATTACCGGAGCTGTACGCAACTTCTAATTAACTGAAACTTCAGCTATACTCATCGAATTAATTGCAACAACCGCCATTCGCATTACTGAGAACCCACTTCTTCGTTGTAAAATATTCTTGAGAAATTAATTATCCGTGAACTCTTACTTTTGTTAATCGGAACAGGATATTTATTGCTTACAGTTTTTGTTCTCAAATTCACAAACGATTTATTCCCTTTCTCACAATGTTTTCCTGGGTTGAATGAAAAAGCAAAATAATAGAATGTATACAGTGCTCTTCTTCCATTCAACGAATATTCGTTCATTCTTTCAACGTTTTCCTTTTGTTTTTAATAACATTTTCTATAGAATACACATGTCGATGGTGACCCCATGATACCTACATATACCTATATATATTCTTGTTCATATGATTTCTTATATTCCTTTCATCGGAGCAACAATTGTACTGTCAATAAAGAACCTGCGTTCGGCGTTGGTACAAAAGGGTTGGAATCCGAAAGCACGGTTCGAAGTGTGTATTAAAAATGCTTTATTTTCCAATAACAATTCTTTTAAAACAAAACATACACCACGAAAGAATTCCATTAATAAACCTGATATTCAATTATTTATTGTAAATATCTGTACGAATATCTAACCCTCTACATACCCATGTAAAAAACAAAGCAATAAATATTAAAAACTTCTATCGAATACCTCACAATAATTTAATTATTATTATGTCTTAAATCATCATTCTATCGAAAACTATAATTATAAAATCTATATCAAACTTACCTCAGACTTCATCAAAACAATATTTATAAGTCACAATTAATTGATCAAACGTTATCGTCTAATTTCGATGTTCGTTTGCCTGATATTACAGATCACATGGGTGAACCAGAAGGACAAGCAGCTGCTAACCGTCGGCACCAGCACCCACTCGATCGACGATCGATTCCACGCGATCCATTCGAGCTCGGAGTGGGCGCTGCAGATACGGGCGGTTACCGTTCAAGATGCAGGCATATACGAGTGTCAGGTATGCATTCGCAGCGAGATCCGCGAGCGCGCGTGTAATAAAAGCCGCGTTTCCTTCGGCCGGGATGGCGCATCCGCGTGCGCGCCGGCAACGTTACGCCGCGCATATCATTCACTCGGCCGTAAAAGCGCGGCTCGTATTCGAAATTTACGACCCAATTTTGTACTGACTTTTATGAAGCATTTCTTTTCTGCGTGGACAATAGGAGGAAACAAAATGAACACGTAACGAGATACCGACGCGGCGCCCGTATAAAATGTTCGCCCGGCATTACATCGGCCGGCAGCCGTTTAATTACTTCGGCTCGTAATACATTAGACCGAACCGCGCGTTGCCTCCGCCGACAGTGAAAGGAAATATCAGCCGAAATGTCAGCCGCAAAATGGCCGGCACGTAACAATAGCCGCGCCAAGTCGAGAATGTTCGCGGGTCTGTTTAACCTTAGCGTCCGTCGCGTTAAATGTTATCCGCCGGACGTTAAACCCGGGCTCGTGTAACATTCTGACATTCTATCGAGAATTTGTCCAATATTTTGCGCTCCACCTTGGATTAGGTTGTAACTGGGTGCAGTGAAATTCATTGTTGATATTTCGGCTTTATTTCAACACGTTGGTTGCCGGGAGGATATTGCATGTTTCATGAGTGAGTTATTCTTTCGTAGGAAAGATAAGTGGAAACGATTATTAACTATTCAGTGTCGCAATTCTTGCGTTACTATGTTGTCTACGAACTATATTTTTGATGTTTATATTCTTTTCGTTGGTATTATGTCGATCCTAGACATTGCAATTCGCAATTTGCAATTAATTGGAACGTGTGAGTTATCACTGGTTAATTCCTTGCAATGATTAGCACTAGATTTACGGAACGAGTCAATTGGTCTAGTATTGACTTTCGTTAATAAGTAAATATTATTTACTAAATGTTTGGGTCGACTTTGATTTGATGCAATATATCCTAATCGGACACGTTCAAACCTCTAATTTCCAAAATCTAAACGAAGGAATATCTCTAAAATAATTTCTCTAAAAGCGATATAGTAAACTGTAAATGTTCGGAAATCTAGTAATAAACAACGCAGGGCTTTTTAAACGGCTTAAACATAGATCACACTCGAAAGACGGATTCGTACTCTTTCGTCGACTAGAGGCGCATTTCTGATTTATGACGGTCTAGCACTACTAGCTCAATTGAAAAGTGACTGAAATTACTTGTCTGATGAATGACTGTCCCGCCGTGCTCATTTGATTAATGACGCCGCATATACATCGCACGAAATAATTCCAGCGGTAATGACGTTAAATTACGTTGAAAGCAATGAATATATCATGAATCAAATACGAGCGGCTCGTCATTCACGCCAGACCCGAGAGCACTAACCGGATTCGTTGGTATTGCAGATTACGTCGTATCCGGTGCAACGGAATTTCGTTCGTTTGAAAATCACCGAGGCGTACTCGGTGATACCTGGGGCGCCTGATCTGCATGTGAAGCAGGGCTCTAGCCTTCGGCTCGAGTGTCACCTGATGGCGGCCGCCGAGTCGCCGCAATACGTCTTCTGGTATCGTCAGGGTCGCATGATCAATTACGACGAGGAGCCGGGCGTGAAAGTCGACCTAACGAAGAACGGATCGATCCTAATGGTCAACAAGACGAAACCGGCGCACGGCGGGAACTACACGTGCGAGCCGAGCAACGCGAAGTCGTCGTACGTGGTCGTTCACGTGATCGAAGGTGAGATAAATCGATGCGGGAATATTCACTGTTCTCTAGTATCGACGCATACGAAACGAGAACTGGTAGATTGACTCTAACGTTACATCTCAGAGAAAGCTTCAAATTTCTACGGTTTGTTAATTTAGGCGGGATTAGTAGTATTATCGATTGTCGATGGTAGTTTCTGTGAAAATTTGCAAAAAATTGTGTCGGTTCAGGGAATAAGAGAAAAGTCGGAGATAGTAGGAGATATTAATTCGATGACGTTCTTGTTTCTTTAAAGAAGTAATACAACGCTTGTCCCAGAAAATGTGTGAATTATTAAAACACTGCGTAAACAGCGTGCTGAAATATTAGAACGATCCTTAACGCAGAATGATAGAAATAAAACTCGGGAAATTCTCCAGCAACTGAAGAGGAAAGGACGTTAGCTTCAACCGTAGTTCGTGTTTCTCGTGTCTCATTTCGCGGGAAGATGAAGATATTCTCTTTCGGCATTAATATTTCATTCTTGTAATGTGGAACACCTGTACGGTACGTCTTACATCGATACCGAAAACATGCGCTACGTCTAATACATAAATCACGGTTGCTACCCTCGTTCGATCGAGTACTTTACGACAGAGCAAAGAGTTCTCGCCGCTAAATTTTCCATGAAGAATCGCCTTTCTTCCGGTTGCGCGACAAGCGCGGCAATGCTGTTCATAAATGCACCATTTATGTCATTCCTTTCCCTCGGGAACGATTAATAATCTCCAAGGCTGGAAAGTAATGTATTCCAGATGGGATCGCGATCGTGATACGCTACTCGCGTGATTAAAAGCTTTATTGTGTCGCTCGGTTCACCGCGGACGGGCCGATATTCGTTCCTCGACCGGGGATGACCTTGTAGTACGTGTTCGATCAAAGACGGATCTCTGCTACTTACGCGGGTACAGATGTCGCTACAGCGGTTGCTTAATCCTTGACTAATATGTCGCACGTGACTAGTGACAAGTCAATCTATACTATTTGCTCGGGCAAACACGTACTATGTTACACGTCTGATCAGGCACGATCCCGCGCTGCTAATCTGATAGACCTTGACATGTACCACTTATTTAGACACGCACGTTGCTACGCTACCTGCCCAACTATAGATGATTCTGCACTATTTACATGTTACTTGCATAATTAACGTGTTCACATGTTTCAGACGCTCTACGTTTTCTATATTGAAAATTGAATAACTTTCGAGTGCGTCTGTAGGAAATTGTAACGCATGGCGTATGAAGTCGAGGCAATTTTTTTTCAAGGTTACTTCCATTTTGTAAAGACGAGTCGTTGGATTTAATAAAATATTATAACTGTTGCCATTTCTAATCTTTGACTCCTTTCTGCATTTCTTTGCTGAAAGTGTCATGATACTGATCGTTACAACTAACCTGTGAATTTTATGTGTCCATGATATTGAAAACTGAGTAAAGTATAGTAGTAACTTAAAGAAAATTATAAATTTTCGATTTTACTTATCACCAAACAATTTTCAAGAAATACAAGCTTCAAATTCGTTACGAACTAGATTCAAAATTCCCAAGTCTGTATAAACTTAATAGCTTCGCAGAATATAAACAAGATAAAATGAAGAATTCACTAGACTCGAGTGTTGTTGTATTTTTTCCCAATTTGCCTAGACCACCCCGAGACGATCGAATTTCTAGATTTAGTGATTTCAATCAACAGTGTCGAACGAATTGGCGTAAAGTTCCGCTGTCCGACAACGACGTCCTGCGATGCTGTGGCACGCATTACCAAAAGAAAGAGCAAAGCCACTGACCCCCGGAACAAGCTGCCAATATATCAAAGCTTTAATAGATATCCCGTGGAGCGTGGAGCACGACAAGCTTAGTCGAGCTTCTCTTGCTAGCCCGAGATCGTCACGCGCGTGATCGGACTGCGAAAATCTCCCGTTGCGACGGAAGGGGGACAGGAAGCAAAAAGAGACCAGTTGGGTTTCTAGCTTTGCGGTCTAACTAAGTCTCGAAGCGTCCAGCTGGTTGAGGTTCAACTATTTCAAGGCGAATGTCTTCATTTTTGCGACATTAATATTTCCGACCTAGAATACGTGGTTGCAAATAATATAACCTCCTTCACTAGAAAGTTTCTCTACTAAAAATATTCATGATTTCCTAATAAAACATTAATCGCGTCTTTTGCCACTGAGGTAAAGAGAAATCATTTACAAATGAAGAAACACAGCTAATTTATAACAATATTTCATGTATTAAAATATTCTAGAATATTTAATACTGCATTTAATATACCATCAATATTATAGACAATTTAATATCAACCGTTATAATTTCATTGAATTAAAGTATCTAACTTCTCGAATACTACAATACACAAATACACAGTTAATTTTTCCCTAACATAAAACTTCATATAATTCAGTTTCTCCCGCTTAAGATTCTAAATACTCGACGAGTTCTCCCGGAGGGTTAAAGCACAGCGAACCCTGCAACGCATTTCTTTCCTTTCCCCGAGAGCTCGCGGTATTCTTCGCGGCCAGCAGCGCGTGCAGGCAGCTTCCCCTTTCGGTTGTAAAGTCGGAGTTTCTAATCTGGTTGCAGAGGAGGAGAAGCCGGCGGCGATGCACGGGGGCGACAGAAGGAACCTCAGCCCCGCAATTTTGGCGAGCAACTTTCTGGTGTCCTTCCTGGCGGCCGTCAGCTGGAGGATACCGAGTTTCACCAGCCTTTACCCGACGTGAATCACCGGCCGAGTTGCGGGAGTGGCTGCCGTTAGCCGTGGCCGAGCCACCGCAGCCCGGGTCCACCGTCTTCCGACGTGGCGACTCGAACGATCGACGTCGCGACCGACGGCCGCTCGTCGCGCAGATTCGAACTGCGATCGGGGACAAGGTTGCTTCGTCGGGAGGCGAACCCAACGCGAACGAACAGTGTACGTGTACCGAGTGTGCGTCAGCTTAAACGTGTGCGTGCGCGTGTCGAGTTGAAACGCGAGAACATCGAGTCGTTCGAGCCTCCGACTCGAGATATCGTTGTAACTACGGCGGCCGAACGAACTCCGTGTGCGTTACGACGTTGGTAAGACTGGTCGGGAACCGTGGACGCTGGTCCGATGATCGATGATGGATTCTCTGATCGCGTGGGACGATTTTCTGCGCGAAATGAGAACCGCGCGACAGCGGCTGGACCGATGATAGTTCGTCGTGGAATTGATGTAGGACTCGACCGTGTAAGATACAATGTACGCGTTGGACTTCCGTTAGGAGAGAGTCGCGCCGCGATGCTCGCGCGAACGGAAGTTCCTTCCTCTTTCTGTCCTACTTTCCGTCGCGACGGGACAGGAACTCGTTAGTATCTTTCGGTGTGCGTGATGGGCGAACCGTTTCCCTCGTAACGTGCATTATACATATATAAATACATAAATATACGTATATATATAAATATATATACATATATATTCGTTACGTAAGCGACAAGCACGTATATATATATATGTGCACATATATGTAGGGTGTAAATTGCTGCGTGGAACCGGCGACGGGTGAGTGGCGCGAGGGCGCAACGCGAATCCTTTGTATTTTATTTTCGTCGCGGTTGGAAGGTGAATCGCTGATAAAAAAGATTTCTCGGTGTCGGTGAATCTGGGAAGATGATCGATGTGATCCGATAGTTTTTTCTGGAGGAACGTAAACCGTTGTCGTTGCTTTTTTTATCGTAATGAAGATGTACGAGACGGAATTCGGCGGATTCAATATGATTTTCGAAGGGATCGTCGGAAATTCGCCGTCGCGTAATACTCGACGACACTCGTTCTGGGTAAATGGAATCAATGTAAATAATACATTCTAATTATACATCCAATAAAACATTACTCGTGAAACATGCGTTCGATGATTTATTTTTGTTGATCCTTTAGGTACAGTACCCTCCGTAAGTATTTTGGCTATTGGTGAAACTTAATGAAGAATTCGCGATTAGTACTGCAATATCTATACAACTAAAGCACTAAATTAATATACTATTATTTTGGAAACTATATTTCAATCGATAAGATTTTAAAATTTATATTTTCAGTAATCAGATATTCACCATTGTTATTTCGTTACGAACTATCCTTAATTACAGCATTGAAAAAAATATAAAATTTGATTCGAATCGATTATCCATTTAAAATATATTACATAACAATATATCTGAGTTTTTCTATGTATAGTGATATAAGTTCACCTCAGTAAAAATTGCCATCACAATTCAATTTCCTGAAAATTAGCCGCTACCCAATGTGTTAACCCTTTGAACTCTGTAAGCTCCACTATTGCACCAGATATGATATCAAATATTTTAATGAATCTTAAAGAAATTACCCTAAAATTATTCGATTTTCCACACATCCAAATTTTGTACTAAGAAGGAAAATAAAAGATCGAAGAAATGTTATAGCATTTCACATTTAATGTCATTAAAGACATTTAGCTATGCAACTTCGCTAATTACAGCATTGAAAAAAATATAAAATTTGATTCGAATTGATTATCTATTTAAAATATATTACATAAAAATATATCTGAGTTTTTCTAGGTATAGTGATATAAGTTCACCTCAGCAAAAATTGCCATTTCAATTTCCTGAAAATTAGCCGCTACGCAATGTGTTTGCTTCCTGAAACTCATTAAAAAAATCCATAAGAATAAAAATCATTTAACACAAGGGATCAGTAGTGGTATCTCTCGTTGAACGTCGTACATGTGTTTTTCAATTCGCCAAGAAAACACGTAAACAACAATAATAAAAGGAGCTACTCATGAACAGTGGCAGACCTCTTACTTTTTTCATCGTGAAGATTTCCCGCTCGCCGGTAGAGCGGGAAGCCCGGGTAAACTTTATCGTTTGTTCTCGTCATTCGATAGGCAAACGATGAGACAGGAAATTGAACGCGAAGTAGCACGCTCGCCGTGAAACGAACGTCGCCGTCCGCGCTGGAAAACTTATTTCACGAAACTCCCCGCGCGAAAGTTGCGGAATAGCTTCAGCCGATAAACGCGCGCGTTACAACCCCGCGTCGCCTATCTACCCCCGAAGTCCCCGAACTTTCCGCGAGCTTTAACACGCCCGTGGCAAACGTTATTACAAAAGCCGGCCCGTTATCTCTGCCCGGAATCCCGTTAAAACGATCTAATTCAACCGCGAATTCGACCGGAGAAATATCGAAATCCGCCTCGGGGTTCAACAACGCGTTCCCTTGACGTCATTGTTACCGCAGCTCGAGTTCCCGGGGCAGTTTTGACGTTCGCGGCCTGAGCCGGTGACTATTATATTTTTTACAAGCGTCGCAATGTTCGATTGTTCAGCTTAGTCTTCAACAGTCTAGTATGCTCGTCACGAGAGAAAATTAATTACTTATTGCTATAAACACTGAAATTTTTGTAATCCTTTGACGGTGGATTTTTAGTTGAACACTGGAACTATCGAGCATTTAATACGATTAATATGTAATCCTTATAAAAGTGTAACAATAGGTTACTTTCAGTTTCTTCGGACATTCATTATAATATTCAAGTGAAATTATTTATTTTCAAAATCATTTCGAATATTCGATGCTTTCAAAGTATCAGCAATTGCGAAATAAATCGAAACCAGTCATTTTGATTGGCACGGTAATTCTAGTGTTAATCGTTTGAGACCGAAGTAAAAATGCCAGTCTATCGGTTCGTAGACTTAGATGAAGCTTATTTATTTATTTCCATTTTCATTATTCATTTTTGTTTTAGAATTACTCGCTTGGAACTGGAAAACTGTAAGGACTATTTGAAATTTGTTTTTGTAAGAATAGAAAAGCGTAATTCAAATTGTTCAAATTCTTTATTTGCGTGTGGAATTGAAGAATAGCGTTGACGAGTATATTCGTTGAGTATCGTTAAAGAGTTAATATACATTTCTTCGTAAAAAGAGCATTAACCAGTTAACTGTGTTTGACGAGTATACTCGACGTGGAGAAGTTTCAGGATTTTGTATCATGACGAGTATACTCGTCGTGCAGAAGTTTCAGGATTTTGTATCATGACGAGTATACTCGTCACGCAGAAGTTTCAGAACTTTGTATCATGACGAGTATACTCGTCATGGTAAAAAGTAGTGACCATTAGCTTTTCACAGAAATTACAGTCTAAATAGCCAATGGTCACTACTTTCTACCATGACGAGTATCGTCATGACACAAAATTCTGCAACTTCTCCATGACGAGTACACTCGTCAAAGACAGTTAACTGGTTAAAATAGCACAATACAAGTCTAAAATGTAAATGACGGTAAGGTTCTATAGTGACTGCATACGACCCCAGGCATGATCGCTTATACTGCGAGGATTAATCGATAAGACTCGTTGGGTCGCGCCGATATTACTTATCGATGAAAGAACAGTCTTACAGTTCGCGACTGCTCGATTATGGATAGATACCACTGGCAAGACAATAGCCAGATTTACGCTGCGCGTCAAGCAAGTGGTGTTACGTAATGGATTCTGTGTAGAACAAAGGACCTCAGCTAGGCGTATGATTTGATAAAGCCCCATACTACTTGTCTGATACGTAATATGCTCGTTCTACTCTCTGTTGCAATTAGGTTCTTTTCGGTTGGGAAAGTGACGTTATGTAACGCGTTTTGAGAATGATGAATTTCAGCTGGGCGCGTGATTCGATAAAATGTTGTAATACACGTCTGCCCTTAACATCCTCGTTCTACTTGTTGAGTTGATTAGATTTGTGTCTAAAGGCTGACATCGTGTAACGCAATGTATGTAAAACGATGAAATTTTCACAGATTTTGGATTCAGTCGCCTGTCTGATTAATAACATCCTCGTTCTACTTGTCAGAGAACTGATATTCTTGAACTATACATTTGACTTCCGCCATACAGCCACTGATGGAACGAATAATATTCTTATCCCTCTTCCCAAGAAATTTTAATCTCATCACTTGTCAAAAAAATAATATCTTCAATTACTTATCTTAGAAGAAGCAAATTCTCTGATTTACCAAAGAACTTGTTCGTCACCAGCACAATTAGCTAAAGGGAACGCCTAAGAATAACTTCCGCTGTTCGGAAATCGCGCTATCAGTTGTTATCCGAAAAGTTTCCGTGAAGGACGAGGCTACCGTAAGTAATTAGTACAATAGAAAGTTAATTCACCAAGCAGGTGTTAACCGGCGCGGCACGGATTAGTCTCCGGTGCCCCGACACGCCACGGTACGGCGTATCCGGCTTTCTTCCTCCTCTTTTCCAGCCTCGGCCCCTCCGTCTGTCCTTTAACCTCGTTCCGCTGAACCCGGCCGCCACACTTTCTCGTCTTATTTTCTACCTGGCCGCGCCGAACTTTCACGATAAAAGCACCGAAACTCTTTTAACGGGTGCTAAATTGAAACACTACTGCAATAAAGCGGCGCAGCAGCGTGACTTCCTCCGCAAAGAACGTCCGCCGCCCGACCCCCGCACGGTCGAGTCGGTTGCAGCGGGATCGTTACGAATTTATGTTAAAAAAAAATCCGTTCTCCTCCTTTTTCGTTTCATTGAAACGAAGAGCGTTCACGGTCGGCGCGCCGATGCCATTGTTACGCCGCGTTACCGCGTTGGAGAGACTGTACACCGCAGCAACGAATAACGAGGCGACAAGTCGATGCTCGGATGTCGCTGCCGTTCCACGATCTGCTAACCTGTTTGACCATTAGGAATCAGCTGTGGTTAACCACTTGCGCTGAAAAGACGTGTTACGCGCGTCCTGACGTTTTTGCCCGAAAATACCAAAGACATTGTACACGTCGATAGTCTTAGTGGATTACATATTCCAAATTGTTCTGAAATCTACTGTGGAGGAACTGGCGAAGGCGAACAAAATGAATTATAGAAATACTTTCCACAACACTGTTTATTGACGTCGGTCGCGGAGATTCGTGATGTAAATAACGCGAGCAGAAGAATGAGCTCCTAAACTCTCGTCGGAAAATATATACTGGAGCGAAGGAAGAAAGATGGAAAGGTAGGAGAAGATCGAGAAGAGGAAAGATTCTAAAGATGGAGAAGAAGATGGATAACGGTGAAACGGCAAGTAAAGAGGTGCGTAATAAAAAGTGGAAAGTTTCCAGGCCTGCGAGGGCCTGGAAAACCTTTGGGAAATCCCACAGGTCCGCGCGGGTCTGGTCGCCAAATATGCGATTGTGTGAAGCAGACTCGCGGAGGAACAGTTATAACGGTAGAAAGTGAAAAAAAAACCAGTGGCGTAAGGCAACTTTTCGGCCGCTACACTACCACTTCGTACAAAATTATAGGTAAACGACGTTTGTGTATATTTCTATATAATATGCGAAGACAAAATTCTTCGCGAGATCCTGTCGAGTTTCTCAATTCGTCGCCAGCGCAAGTTAATGCGTGTTTCGTGCTGCGGGACCACTCAATCAGAAATGTACAAATAAAGGCTCGTTTGGGAAGGTACACGTAAATGACAGAGGTAAAATAGATATCTTCTTCAGAGACAATCTTCCGCTACTTGCTAAACTGAAGGTAATCCTGCATTAGTTGCTTGATTGAGTCCTTACTGCTTATTCCGGTGGAACTAGTCCGCGATGCATGTCCATCGAAAATTATGAATTAATGTTGTCTTCGGGGATTGGGCTAACTTAGCCGAACGCCGGGAAACAATTCCTAATGGACACGGCTTACACCCGGAAACTTTGAACACTTCTCATTATCTTATACCGCTTGCCTGATTTGTCAGTATCTCGTCCTACTTGCCTAACTTGGCATTACTCTGTATTACCTG